CGAAAATGATATTATTAAAAAATTCACCCCGTTTCCTTTCCATGTACATTCTGCAATTCTCATGAATCGTCTGGATCCATCTGTAATATTACATTTAAAACACAAGTTCCATGTGTGGTAAGTTTCTTCCTCACCCTTTGGTCCTTGGCTTCCCAGGACATGGCAGGAGTAGCAGATGGCCGCCCTTGTGATGGACAAGAAGATGGATCCATCTGGCTGCTGAGTATCCTGATCTCTGAAGCCTGGGCAGATGCCTGCATGTGGATGGACTTTCTCTTAATTTCCCTTAACTTCATGGCTTGTCTATGAAAAGCTCAATTTAGAAAAAGCTGCATTTCCCCAAACCAGATTTATGCTTTAATGTGAGGCAGCGAGACCTGAGAAGTGTGCAGGCAAAGGGGCTTTTCCCGTCGCATCTCACCTTTGGCCTGGCGTGTCTTCATCTGGTTTGCGTGTCAAGCACGTGTACAGGGACTGAATGAAGACAGTGGTGGAAGGTGCTTTGATCAGTGCTTAGCGAAGAATAAGTGCTCAAAAGCAGCAGTGCTTCTGTTATTAGTGCTTCTGGAGGTGGTGAATTGCCTTGCATTTCAACTAGGAAGGGATTCCAGAAAACTGCCAATATTCATAAATCCTGAGAGAACGGGTCCAAAACTCCATCCACAGTGCTCCTTGCCGTCCAGAAGCACCATCATACCGGAGGTGATCCTGCTGTGCTCTCAGCAACCCCCATCCCAACTCGAGCTCATCCTAGCTCATCCTATCTTCAGAATTCCTTCCGTGCCTGTGATCTGCAAATATCGATAGTTCGTGGCACTAAATTTGACTTAAATTTATTGTGTGTATCTTAGCTGCCATTTGTTCTTTCATATTTTAAGCATCTACCAGATGTCAGACCTTGGGCATTCAGTATTGAGTCAGCCACACGTGGGACCTGCCTGCCCTCAGGAAGCTAGATTGTAAAGTCCTGGCGACCCAGATCCTAGTTTTCTGTCACTCAGAGCATCTGGTGTGGAGGTGCCTTAGTTGTTACACTCACGTTACTCTGTTTGCTCCCATGTTGTGAAGCACATGGATGGACCTGGAGGGTATCATGCTTAGTGAAATAAGTCAGACAGAGGCAAATGCTGTGTGTGATCACTTATATGTGGAATCTAAAAAACAAAGCAAACTCGTGAATGTAACGAAAAAGAAATGGGCTCACGGATATAGAGAACAAACTAGTGGTTACAGTGGGGGGAGGGAGGGGGGAGGGGCAAATCAGGGCAGGGGATTAAGAGGAACAAACTATTATGTATAAAATAAGCTGCAAGGATAATTGTGCAGCACAGGGCATATAGCCAATATTTTATAATAACTTATATATAATGTAATCAATAATATGTATAATTAATTATATAACAATTGATATTAATATTATTATATTATATATAATATAATTGATTATTATATATAATAATTATTATTAATATTATTTAAATGGAGAACCTTAAAATTTTTGAATCATTATGTTGTACACCTAAAACTAATATAGTGTTCTAAATCAGCTCTATCTCAATTAAAAAAAAAAAACTGTGAAGGCCCCAGGGGAGCAAAGAGACTCCTGGGCTTGATGTACTTAGTGATAATGTAAGAAACTTACCATTTGGGCTCTCAGCTCAACCACAGCCTTTGTCTACTGAGAAACCATGATGTCAGCAATTAAAGAGACTGGTGTGCTAACCAGCTTGTATATCTGTATACCTATATACGCTTGAAAAGTAAACCTCTAAAGCACTCCAATATTGGGTTCTTTTATATGAATTTAAATAAGGAAGCAAAAAAAAATTTTTTTGTTTTTCGTTATCTGTTTTACAGCTATCAGTGTATATATGTCAACCCCAATCTCCCAATTCATCCCACCCCCGCTGCCCCTGCTTTCCCCCCTTGGTGTCCATACGTTTGTTCTCTTGAAACCATTCTTCACGGTGAAGGAGCAAATCCTTGCCTAACTTTTTGCCACAGTGTCTTCTGAAAGGTGAGCTAATGCTTTTCAAAGCATTAGGAATAGTGGGTTTTATCAGGATTCACTTTTTATGAGTGTATCAGATACGCTTATTGAAATTGAGATTCCTCCCTTTCTCTTTTATTTTGAAAAGCCATCCCATGGGTTGACCCCTCCGCATACATTGCTCCCCTGTCACTGACCGTTAAAGCTTTTTGAGTGATTAGTACCTTCTGAAAATACAGACTGAAGTGCAGAGATCCTTGTAGCCAAACCAGCCCATGTGTCCTCTGTTCTTGACTTGACCCCATCAGCCCCAGCAAAAACTAGAACTTGGATTTGGTGAGTGAAGAGAGAGTCATGAGGTTCTCACATGGGCAGGGAGGAAATCAACAGTGAGTCTTTGGTTAAGCAGGAAAAAATAATCTTCGTGAAGGAGACGGGATCTTGGGAGCATTTTGAATGAAGAAAGAGCTTGGTGAGCCCAGCTTCAGACGTAGGCGTGATGTGGGAGAATTCTAAGATGTGCAAAGATGATACACAGCTTGGGGGTGAGGGCAGGTCTGATGCATTCTCCTAAAGGAATTGAACTGATGGACAAGAGGATGGATCCATCTGGCTGCTCAGGATCCTGATGTCTGAAGCCTGGGTGGGCCCCCGGAGGAGGTGGTCCAGGGTGAAACTCTCTCAGTGTGGAGATCAGAGCTGAGAAGAGGCAGGTACCGGTGTCCAGGCTGCAGACTTCTGTTGTGATTCAGGAATACTTTTCACTACAGCTAACGTGGGGCTTGCTCTGTGTCGGCTGGTAAAGAAGCCGGTTTAGGAGAGAAGATGTTTGGAACGGGGGTGGGAAACCCCAGACAGGAGCTGGCCTCTGGTTCTCGGGTGCAGTGAAGATTTCCTAAGAAGGTTGAAGAATAAAACATGAGGAGAAGGATGTGTCAGGAAGGTGAGCCTTGTAACCATATCTAACTTATGTCGACTGCCAGGCACTTTGCCCCTGCTTCCCAAGCCCAGCAGAATCACTGAGGCACGGGGGCGTGAGGCAAAGACTTAAGCCTCAGACATTCAGATTCAGTCCTTCAGTCTGTTCATCAGAAACCAGAGCTGTGTTTCAACCACAAAGATGATGGAGACCACTGGCCTTCGGAGGGGGGGCAGGGAGAAGACCCTGGAGGCCTTCAGTCCCCTGGAGTTGAATTTCCCATGCGCCTCCCCAGAAAACTGCAGAAATGGCCAAGAAGTTCACAGAGAGGCTCTTACTAAATGGTGATCTACGTTTGTCAACAGTTCTAGAGAATTCTATAAGGGTGCACACATGATGGTCTGAAATTTGTCATTGTTATAAAAAATAGTCATTTTGAGTTCTACTTCACAGAAAGATTTTGTTAGGTGATTCTCATTCACTTTTTCAACTTTTTTTTTTTTTTAATAAATGTCATATATCCTTGCTTTAGCAAGCTCAGTTTAAAAAAAAATAAGAAAGAAAGGGGGCCGCCCTCCCTTTGGGATTGTAAAAGAACACATTCCCAAGGAAGAGTGACAAGCCACTGTGTTCAACATGTATCTTTTTTCCCTGCCGTAAAGAGTATTGGTTTTTAATATAATCTGTAATGTAATTTCTGTTATGTTCTATGATGCTTCATAATCAACCTCATGCACTTTTCAGAAAAATTAATACCGTTCATTAACATTCATCGTCTGTTCCCTCAGTATCAATTTGAAGTTGGTGATGCCCATCATCCTGGCTTTCTCTCTCTCTCCCTCCCTCCCTCTCTCTCTCCCCCCCCCCGTGTCTGTCTGTCTGTCTCTCCCTCTCTCTTTCTCTCTCTCTCACCGTGTCTGTCTGTCTGTCTCTCTCTCTCCCTCCCTCCCTCCCTCCCTCCCTCTCTCTCCTCTCTCTCTGAGTTATGACCCATTCATCATCATGGCTGGTGGGCCTCCCTGGTTCAATAAGAGGTTGGATTGGAAGGACCGAGACGTGATGCTTTGTTCTCCGGCTTCAATATTTTAATGAGCCTGCAGGCTTGGCTCCTTCGGAAGGAACAAGAGGGGATTTCTAAGTGTGTTTTTAGTGTTAGCACTTGTAGAAGGATGTTCATTACGAAGCTCTTGTTTCAGTTTCTCCGAGAAACTCCCCATTAGGAAAGATCTTTCCGCAGCATGGCTGGGAGAAAAGAGAAAGGGGAGGAGGGCTCTGTGGTCTGTGAGCACCAAGGGGATATAGTGTGTCAGTGGTTTGGGTTCTAAAGATTTGCTTCTAAGGATTGACTGGAGCAAATACATCTCAAGGGAGGGGGGAAAAAAGGTTTGTGGGGCAAGGACAGGGACAGTAGTTGCTGTCTTCCCCAGTCGAGGACTTTTCATCTTGCAGCTGAATCAATACTCCAGCTAATTATTTCTGGTTATTTTTTATGGGTTTGTAAGATGTTTCTTTTGTTTGGGGTAATAAAAAAACCCATTATTTGATCAGTGACTGACTAATTATGATAAGTAATTTGAAACATTCTTGATGAAACTTGTCTGTTAATTAGCATCAGCAGCAAATGGAAACTAACAGAACAACAAAGTCTTAGCGCATCCACTGCTCCCTGGAATTGCTGCCCTCTTTCTGTGGCGTGCCCAATAAACTGAGGCTGCCAGTGGTTAAAAAATAATGAGCAGATGGGAAGGTCTGACTCACCACCAAGGAAAAGCCATTGTGAAGTTACACAAAGGAGCACTGAAATATTACAAGCGAGGGGGCGGTAAAGAAATGTCAGTAGGTTGCCTTGATCCTACTGGGTAAAGTCAGGAGTGTGGTTTCTTTTTTTTTCTTATTTTTTTTTTCTTTAAAGCTTAATTCCTAAATACATTCATCCCATGCTGATCTGAACTCAGATATGTTTGGTCAATAAAAGTGTGGCTCTATAAAATTGTGGTTCGGAATTCTTGATGTTGTCTGGCCATATTGTCATTATCATTAATACTGTTAATTTTTTATCAACTCAGTGGTGCTTTTTTTTTATGCTTTTAGATTTCTGCCTGGACAAGGACTGGTTCTATACCCACAGATAGGAGACAAATTGGATATTATTTGCCCCAAAGTGGACTCTAAAACTGTTGGCCAGTATGAATATTATAAAGTTTATATGGTGGATAAAGACCAAGCAGACAGATGCACTATTAAGAAGGAAAATACGCCTCTTCTCAACTGTGCCAGACCAGACCAAGATGTAAAATTCACTATCAAGTTCCAAGAATTCAGCCCTAACCTCTGGGGTCTAGAATTTCAGAAGAACAGAGATTATTACATTATATGTAAGTATAATTCTATTCATTTATTTTATAGAAATTAGGATAAGCTAAATAGGTTTGTATCAATTTTTGTTTCCTTAAAATTATTACAGTGGCAAACAATTGGGTGGGAATCTTTGCTGAAAAGTTTTTTAAAGAAGCCCTAATTGAATGAGGGACCCCTGTACTAGTACTACTCATTAACATAGATACCCAAAGAGAAAAAGCCTCCTAGAGTTTTTGTAGTATTGAAATAAGTGGATATATATGAATATATTCAGCATCTCTACTGACAAAACCATTTTTAAGAACCATTGGTGAGATTTTGATAGGTGAATCTTGTGCAATGACTTTTCTCTTCATCCATCCATTCATCCATTCATCCATCCATCCATCCACGCGTCCATCCATTCACTCATTCATTTAGTATTTACTCTGTGCCAGAAACTGCATAAATGCTAGGTGTTCAACAGTGAACAAGATGGTAAAGCGGTACCCATTCCTCATGGAGCTTGTAGGTTCCAAGAATGGGAGTTACAGGCAACCCACACTAGTACATGGGTGCCATTAAAACCAGGTTTGGAAGAATAAGAAAAAACTTGGGTTTGTTCAATGAATTACTTTTTTATCTACCTATACAATAATTTGACACATGGTTTTAGGAACAGATACTGTGTATCCTTTGGGTCCTATCTGAGCTACTGTTCACTCCTGAGGCTGTGAAATCTGATGAAACACGTGCCTACTAGGTGCAGGTCAGCAGCCGGTACAGAGTTAGGATTGTTCCAGGCCCAGGGTCTGTCACAGTGCAGTCTGGGTGACTAGGGTAGCTGTTCACATCAGGCAAGCAATGAAATGGTTTTTCTTGGTTTCTCTGGTGGGAGTCCGCACTCACTCGTCATGATGAGCTCCAGGTCGTCAGAGGTACTGAGCTGCTGTCTGCTGGGTGTGCTCTCCCATCTCTGGGTGATCAGGTTGAAACTCTGACTTTCTCTACCTCCTAGCTGCTCTTGAGAATGCAAAATCAATAATTCATTGACTACTTATTAAATACTCAACAATATACTATCTTCTGTTTTTTATTACACTCATTAGTAATTAAAACAAAGGTGGTCATAGCCATCTAATCCTTGTTCTTTGCTGTGAACCTGGAATGCCACAGAGGCTGAAAACGTAGTTTTAAACCAACGTGATACACATAGAGTGGCTTAGTGAGAATAAGTAACAAAAAGAGAAAGTGGTGAATTATAGATTTTAAAGCACAATGATCATAAAATGAAAATAAAAGCATTTTGAGGGCTGGGACAAGCAGGTGGGGTGGTAAAGTGTATGAAGTAAGAGGGAAATCTTTGAAAATATAAAATAGTCATTAGACAAAATAAATGGAAACCTTAAGCTTTTGGAAGTCCAACAGTGTCTTAAAAAAAAAAAAAGTCTTTTTAAGTAGGACTGTTTACCAGGATGTTTTTAGCATAGCATTTATAGGGACCCACCCTACTGAATTCATTAAGCAGGTTAAGACCCCTGAATAGGGTGGGAAAAAGGACGAGGGGGTGCCTGAAGATAGATGTTCCTCAGAGTGAAATACGTCTCTAAAACTGCACCTGCAGCCCTAGCTGCTGACTGGCTCTTCAGGGAGGTAAGCCACCAGACCCGGAAAAGCACGTGGTAGCCCGGGATACAAGAATTGTTCTGAAAATAGAGATGAGGGTTTCAAGTTTGAATGCTGCTGGTTGGGTGGTTGTTACAGGCTGGGTGGGGAAGGGCCCAGGGCTCAGAGGGTGGCCGGGAGCCCAGGGAGACTCAGAGCACAGAGTTGAAAGACTTGCGCCACGTCACAGACATAGGAAGACACTTCAGATACTTCGGGAAACGCATGCCCCGTTTCCCACCCATCCTCCAGCAAAGCCAATGGATGGACAGCTTTCCCTGAAAGGGAAATGAAGGATGAGAAGTACAACTCTCAAAAGAGTTGAAAAAGTTAATGTTGACTTTCCATTGCTTCTTCGAGAATCACAAGGCACCCAGACAATTAAGAGATTTTTCAGAGTCAGTGCTTTCCACAGCCAGTGATCACTCACACATACACACAGAGTCACACTCCACTTAAAACAGTACTACACTAGGCGGCATGATGGAACACTGCCCTTAACACTGCAAGTCACCACTTCAACTTTGAGAGAGTTAACAATGTTGGTATTTTTGAGTTGCTACAAAGTATATGACATGTGTTTAACTCCAAATCTTCCTGTCTAGCTAGTAAGCACCTTCATAACCAAGAGTATTAGTATGAACAGCATTGTTATTGTGTCCTGGTTTCTTTCCATAGGAGGGAAGAAGAGAAGTGATAGTTTGGGGCAGTGCTTCATAACCCCAGAGGGGAACAGTCCAAGTTGCCAATGGACTGACTTGGAATTGATGTTGTTCGGTCATTCCCTAGATGAACTGATTCCAGGAGCGCTGGGCCAGGAGCCCAGAGACCTGGATTCTAGTCGTGCTGTGTGAGCTTAACGAGAAAGTCACTTCATTTCTTTGAATTTTGATTTCTTCTCTAGAAACTGCTTTTACTGTTGTTGTTGTTGTTATTCTGGCTAATGATGGAAGTCTCTAGTTCCAAACCGTTTTATGGTTAGACATACACATCCAGCATGGGATCTCTCGTCAGGGTGGCTCTTCTCCAGTTGAATGGACAGGATCTGCTGTAAGCTCTTTAAAGACATTGAATTTGATTTGTAGTGTTACCAGGTTTAAAATACAGGCATCACACTTTTAAGTTCTAGAAGTCAACATTACTTTTAAATTGGGAGTGTACTTTTAAACCTACGGAGTATCCACTAAATTCCCCTAGGAAATGACACGACAAAATGATATGCATCCTCATTAGTTTTTCTCCTAGATGATTATTTGCTTTGACATGTGGCAAAATGATATATATAGGTTTTCTTAATGTTGAGAATTGACTTTTTCAGGTGACCCGTTTCAGTCGTTAGACTTGGGTTTAATTTGCATAATAAAATCTCCTAATATTAAATGATCCAGAGGTGGGGATGTTACAACCATTTGGTCTGTTTGTCATTACATTCAGATTCTTAATTGCCTTAAAAAGAAAGTAAACATTTTATATAACCTACAGGTGTTTTGATCATGTCTTTAAAAATTTTTTTAAGTTTATAAAAGAACTATCTGTTCTGAGGTGGCCCGTCGTCAAGGGAAGCTCTGTCTTAGAAAAACACACCAGTTAATGTGAGGCAAGCATTCCTAACTGTGTTCTCAGCCTTCATACATAATTGTGTCCAAAACTTTTCTTGTAGACACTTTCTGTGCTTGGTTTCCAGTTTCTTTTTAGAAGTGATAACCTGGAGCTGAATGAGTCAGAAATTCTGGTGTGGAGGCCCTTTGCAGTATCTACCCTTATGAAGGTTCCATGGCTTGGTCATCCAGCCTCAGCATTAAACCTTGCAAAATACCTACAAAGAGGTTTTCATCACACTACCAAAATCATGTGAGTCAGAGATGGATGAAAATGAATGCCACTGTGTGGATGCTTTTTAAGTGAACGATGGGCACAGCCCAGCTGTTAGAAAGAACACCTTATGCCCGAGGCACCTCCCAATTTAGCTTTGTGTGGTTTTTTACATTATTTTACCTCAGATCTGTAGCCAAGACATGGATTTGTGGAATAGTCTAAAAGTCATCATTTCTAATGACTGTTCGATTAAACGTTGCTCTGAAACTACACCCTGCTGTGTTCACAGTGGTCCTTCCAAAAGCCACTCCTTGCTTTCCTTGCCTGGGAAAGTCTTCCTTGAGAAACACTGAATGAATTTGAATGAGTCACCATTTCTTAGGCCCTTCACTGGTTTCATTCTCCAACGCAATTTTTAAAAAAAATTTTACCAGAGCATATAAAATTAGGAAACTCCTCAGTCAGCTTTGCTGTTTTTCAGACATAAACTCCACTTCTGAGCAGAAATGCAAAATAAATTAAAATGCTTGCACACAAATATAAGGAAACACTATTCTTAAAGAATCAAAACAGAAGAACAGCAGATTCCATTCCTGTTTTTTTGTTGAGTGTTTGTTTTCCTTTTTTTTGTTTGTGTTTTTCTTTTCTGTTTTTGATTTACTTATTTCTGGGAGTAAGTGTAACAAGTGGCACTAAAATATACTGAATGTACTGTAAGCCCTTTCCCTAGCAAAATGGTTATGGGAGGTTTCAAATATACTTTTACATATAGATATCTTTTTTTAAAATTATTTTTTAAAAATTTATTTATTTTTGGCTGCGTTGGGTCTTCATTGCTGCGCGCGGGCTTTCTCTAGTTGTGGTGAGTGGAGGCTACTCTTTGTTGCAGTGCATGGGCTTCTCATTGTGGTGGCTTCTCTTGTTGTGGAGCACGGGCTCTAGGCGCATGGGCTTCAGTAGTTGTGGTGCACGGGCTCTAGAGTGCAGGCTCAGTAGTTGTGGCACACGGGCTTAGTTGTTCTGCGGCATGTGGGATCTTCCCAGACCAGGGCTCGAACCCGTGTCCCCTGCGGTGGCAGGTGGATTCTTAACCACTGCGCCACCAGGGAAGCCCTAGATTTATTTTAGAATATATGTGTGGCCTCTGTAACGTGATTATGTGCTTTGATTGATGAATTATTTATATGATAAAGGTAGCAAAATCTACATTCCCATCACTAAACATCATCGAGTTCAAGGATGTGACAACATCAGCCTGTCACTTATCTGACTTTGAGGTGGGGATTTACGTTCGATACCTTGCATACCATTGGTGAATTCAAGCATTTAAACACATTTTTATTTTTAACCTACGACGGTTGGCTTTGTAGTAGAATGGTCATCAGAATCTTGGGTGTTTGGAGGATACACACACACAGCACTTAGAGCGACAGATGAACATGGTAGTTAGCTGAGAGTCCCAAGTCAGGCAGACCTGGGTTTTTGAATGTCCTTCGGCAAGTAACTTACCCAGTCTGCCTCAGTCTCTTCATCTGTCAGCTGGGGATGATGTGCATTT